TCAAGCTAAAAACCAAGGAGATGATCTCGATATACCAACAGAATACATATCTTCTGAAGACGAAGAAACCTACAACGAAAAGCAAGAAAAAAAATCTCGAGATGCAACGAATAATTCTACGGAATCGTCGAGTGAAGAAAATGATGTGTTTGTAGCTAATAAGTTTTCAGCGTTGTCTACAGAACAATAAAATGATTCATTATTTTATGCATTTTAGATTTTTTATTTTTATTTCTTTTTTTTTACACACATATATTTTTTTCTTAATATATAATGAGCAATCTGCTGATGATAAGAAGAATAATCGGCTCTTTCTGTTTCGCCCGCGAAACACAATTATTATGACAGAATATTACGAGTAAAAATATATCATTTTTGTACAAGCCATTATTCTATTACATTTTTCTCGTTTTCCCACAGATGTTTCAAAATTACTGTGCGTATGAATTATTTACAATGTAATTCTAGTTTGCAACTATTCTGGTGTTACTTTGGTCCACTATAAACTGATTAAGAATTTTTCTTTTAACTACGATAAGCTACATCGTTGCACAATAGGAATAAAGTATATATCATTAAAATTATCTACAACGATATATTTTTATGTTAATAAATAATCTACTGTTCTATAACAATTATAATATGAAACAAAATGCAAGAGAGATAAATTTTATTTTTTTCGAAAAATATTTTGTTTACTTTGATATTTTATACAAAGCGGATATTTCTCAATTGCAACTCTTTTATAAATTGGCTTAGAGAAAGATCCTGAATTCATTAATTGAGATCCATTGATTAATTGAGACCTATTGAGATCCATTGATTATAAACTCTAATGTCCATTTATTTAATCACTATAAAAAAAATCTTAATTTTCATAAGTCCACATTATTAAAGGAAATTTAAAGAATTCGATCTGATGATAGATTAATTTACGTTAATTTTTTGAAACAATATATCAATACTGTTCTTATTTATATATCTCTTCAAATTGTTCAAAATATTGTTCTCTACGTACCGAAAATAGCAATTATATATTGCGCCAAACAGCATTTAAGCTCCTAAGATCTTTTTCACAGAGTAACCGGGTATTGCGTAAAAGAATAATAGCATAAGTATAATCAAACCAATCGCGACTATAGCCTTTAAGATAGCCCATTTGTAATTGTGCCAAACTATGTATTTGATGGACTTTAGCGGATTGAGAAACCACATAAAGGACGCGTCTGGTCGACTGCAAAAAATATGAAAAATAAAAAGAGATTAAATATAAGAAGATACACACATAAAAGCTTATATTATACATATATATTATACTAACTTTGGTTTCTCCAGTGGATCTGGCTCGTTTCTACCAAAACCAGCAGGAATTTTTTCGGCCTCCTCTTTTGTAAGCAAATGTATCTCAGCTTCAACCTTTCCCTATATAACGTATAATGAGATACTTAATAAAATATATACATGATTGATGAAACATATAAAATATCTTATACATATATTTTTAATAAATTTAAGATAATATTTTTAATAGCTTTATTTTTAAAATTATTTAATAAACTTGTGTATGTGTGATAGTGATATCTCTTTATGTATAATTAGCATATTATAAATATACATATATACATTAATATTTTTTAGATTTATTTTTTATGTTAAAATTGTTAACTTACAGTCAGTTCCATATCTTCATTTTCTTTCTTCACATAAAAGGGCCACCAGCCTTTTATACGTTTCTGTTTGAAGATGTTAACTGTCGGCACAGAGCCGTCCGTCTTCAGCATGCTCAACGAGCAAAGCTTACTATTCTTCGCTCCTCGAGGAAATCGATTAAGATCGAGAGTTATAGCACCAAGAAAATCGTCTGCGGAGAAGTGATCTGCATCCCAGACCTGTAAAGAGCGTCCTATTCTTATATCTATCTCAGGACGAGATCGCGAAAGCAACGATTGTTCGAAATTACCTGCAATTCTAAGCGTGCTGGTATTTTGCACTCGGTTTCGTCCCAACTAAACAGGCTTTCTTTACGATTAATAACGATCTTTTCTTCCGCTACCAGATAATCAAATGGAAATAAGAAACGCCAATTAAAGTTTCCTTCGCCGGTCAATGATCGGTAATGAATATCGGTGGATTGACAATCTTCCGGTCCCTTTAACCATCTGTGAAAAGCAATAAATGATGTATAAAATAATTGAACATGAATGTAAGATTTCGTTTCTTTATGACGGAGGATTTTACCCCTTTACATAAATGTCGCTCATCTTCTCGCCAGTAAAGAAGGCGTCATCTTCCAGGACGACATCATCTGTATTCCATATTATAACTCGCAATTCATAACTCTTGGGCTTTCTGGGTGAAATATCGAGGGATGGTCCGGGTGAAGGCATGTCCATTGGAAACATGTCCACCCACATTTCCAATTTTCCCTGTTCAATTCCGGGCTTTTCCGGATTATAGAGCGGTCGAGTTTCCACGTGCTCTGGTACCAGAGTGCAACCTATTCGTGGAAAATTGTTCCATTGATGGAGAACTGCTAAGGCGAGGTGCTCTTCCATTCCTGGAAAAATGATCGAAGAAAATCTTATGTTGACGTAGTCGAAACTGCAAAAAAGCTCCATTAATCATACATAATATATATGTATATATGGTATATGTTTAATAGAGCTTTCAAATATACAGTTAATATTATATATGTATAATATAATGATTAACAAATTAAAGATATATAGTATATATAAAATAATGAAAAAATGTATAAGTAATAAAATATTATATAATTTAATTAATTTAGAATTTAATTTAGAATCTTGTATTTTCTTATATAAAATCTCTTCATATACCCTTCGTATGCACGTAAAATTCCATCTCCTCGTTCGAAAGAGAAAATGTTTTTCTCCCAATTGTAACGCGTCCGTGAGAATATACTGGTCCATCGATTTTACCATCTTTGCATAATTTCGAAAGTATCTGAGTCGGTTTCATCGCGTCTCTCCATTTATTATATCCAGTCCTAAACCAAAAATAACATCTAATTAATTTTGTACATCACATTTTACTTGCATTCTCAAATTTGAGTCTTATTTTGACATATATTGATATATGTATATATATGTATATCTATACTTCTATATCTATTCTATATTATATTATATTAGTGTATAAAGAGGTAAAGTTTGTTTCATTCTTCGGAGTAATCTAATGTTAGAAACTACTAAACCGATTTGAAAAAAATCTTTCATTGATAGATAGATCTTAGATTTTCTTGAATAACGTAGGCTATAAAGTTTGGCGCGTCTAATAATAATTTTTTGAAATAGTAATTTGAACACTGCTATAATTTAGATTTTATATTTGTTTGTTACAGGCAACGTAAAATTCGGGAGTGCCATTAAAAGCACGTGTTAATTAACGAACTACGACCTTGACCCTGAGAGGAGGAGGAGGCCTGGATGAGGCATCGAGCATCAGCGGAGCAACTCTAAGGTGAGTATCATTGTTTTAAATATTAATTTTTATAAATCGCATTAATTCAGTTCATTTATTGATCAATTTAAACAAGAGAAATTTAGAGATATTATGTAATTTTTTAAGAGATATAATATATAAATATTTATGTGAATATATTTGTATAAGGTTCTAGTAAACATTTTTTTTTAATTTATAAAATTATTTGATTATATACATATATTTATATATACTTTATTATTCTTGTACCAAATATAAAGTTTGGCGCATTCAATAATTTTTTGAAATAATAATTATAATTTGAACGCTGTTATAATTTAGATTTTTTATTTGTATGTTACAGACAACGTAGTTGGAACATCAACTATTCCGCTGTTGTACATCGGTGTCGGTGAGTAAGATTTTTTATTTAATTTTGAGGCAACGAATTTATAGATTGTAGTTGTAGATTGTAGATATTGTAGATTCGTTGCGTCAAAATGGATGGACTATAGAATAAATTAAATCAAACTTATTTAGATTGAATTTTTGATAGATGGCTTCATAATATACATAATTAAAGCATACAATTGTAAATTAAAGTATAAATTAAAGAAGATATAAAGAATTTCAATTCAGAATTTTATTTTACTTATTTATTTTATTTAAAGAATGCGCTTGTGATTTTATTCATTGTTACATATAGTAACAACTGTTATATATAAAAATAATTTATTCTTTTACCAAACGTTGATTATCCTAATTTTTTTGTATTCCATCCATCTATGTAGTGTGACATATGAAAATACTTTACTTTTATTGATGTAAATCCAAGTTATCGATTAATTACATGATCTATATAATATGATGAATGTTTTTAAAGAATTTTATTTTATTATAAAATTATAAATTTTATTATAAGTGATATTATATATATTATTATTAGAAAAATAATGAAAGTATTTTGATCGATAACTCGGCTTTATGTTAGTTACGGCAAAATTAAATTCAACGATGTATAATAAACGATCGTATGTGAGCGTAAAATTATGCTCATGCATCAGAAATAATAATTAGGAGAAATGAATGGCCAATACAGGTAGGTCCACTGGCCTAAAAATATTGATTGAATCGTGTAAATAACGCTGTAAAATATTTTATAGGGATAACGATAATAATCTCACTGTTAGCAATTTCTTGCCTAATTTAGTAATCTATAAAGTGAAAATAATATTATCTATTCATAATTGTAATGTGCATATGCTCTTTAAAAGAGAGTTAAATTAAAATTAGATTCAAGGAGAATTGCGGCGTAAAAGTTTATAATCTTTAATTAAGAAAAACTTGTTAAAAGTAAATCACAGCACGTATTTTATTCTTTACACGTAAGTATTTTATTCTTCTTCGTATTCCGCTAGTTTTAAACAAATGATTGCTACTGATGCGATAAAAAGTCGCTGCATTGTTAGATCACCGAATTGCGTGACGCGATTTGTTTCATTGCACTAAGGCCTGAATTTATTTGCCATGCACGTCGTAATTGCTACTCATTAGACTTACTCGTCGTATTTTTTTGCGAGTCCGCACGTAGCGCGATGTCTGCTGTAGAAGCGATTTTCTAGATCAATTTTAGTCTCCCCGATCATATCGTCCGTTCCGACTAGATCCCAATCTAGAACTTGTACCGTGAGCAAGGAATCCTGTGGAAACGTTGCCTCGATCTCAAAGCACCTTAAAAACACGAATTAGCAATTAAATTACGAATGATCATAAATAACGAAACTTTAACTTGTTTTTTGAGATAATACTACGAATATTAAAAGAGTAAATATATAGCTACATAAAATAATAAATAAAATAAAAAAAGAAATAAAAGTATAATCATACTTTTATTTCTTTTTTTATTTTATTTATTTTTCTTTTATTTTATTTATTATTTTTCTTCTTATTTTATGTACTGTATATTTACTCTTTTAATATTTGTACTTTTATTTTTTACACACACACACACACATTTTTATTTTATTTATTATTTTATTTTTCTTTTATTTTATTTATTATTTTTCTTCTTATTTTATGTAACTGTATATTTGCTCTTTTAATATTTGTACTTTTATTTTTTACACACACACACACATATATATACATAATAAAATAATATTCTTCATATAACAAAGTTAAATTACATAGATCACTAAAATCTATAAAAATTGAAAATTTTATAATTTCGATGAAAATTTAATTTCTATAATTTAGTAAGTTTTTAAATATTATCAAGCTTCTTGATTGCATATATATATATATATATATATATATATATATATACGACTGTTATAATATTATAATATAATATAAAACACATACTTTCCGAAAACAGGATTCAGCTGTTTCGACACGTAATGCTCCTTATCACTGATTCTCTTGCCTCCTAGTTGTAAGACCACGTAGGGATCCGCTTTCCCATTGAGATCACAAGGATGAAGGTCGTTAGCTTTAACGACATAAACACGTACTAGGACGTGAATAGGCTCGTTCGATGGGACACCTTGAAAGAATCCGTACTGCGGATCGAAACCCATCACGGTGTGATTCACCAGATCCTTAGGCAATGGCCATTTGTAGACTTTCAGTGCACCCTTGAAATTGCCGACGATTCTTGATTCATCTTCGGTTTCATCGCCGGTCTTTTTACCGCGATACAGCTCGAAGGTGTGCAACCATTCCTTGAATTGCTCAAACTCAGGTTGAGCTTCCAGCTCTCCGGGATAAATCTTCAGAAGAGCGGCCTTCTTGTACTTTTGTTGCGTTTGCTTTGGGCTGAGCCTCGAGACGAATCTCGCTGCGTTCGTCGGTGATTTCAGACCGAACAATTTTTTCGTGGGTGTAATTCCGGGATTTTTCTCGCCCGAAGTAGCTTGTAATTGACTTTGTGTGACAGCCTCATCCAAAAGCATTGGTAACGTTCCGTTCGGCTGATTTTGGAATATGGATTTTTCTTTACGTAATTCTTTATTCTCTTCGATCATCGCCTCCACGGACGCAAAGTATTTTGTCCACCAATCTTGACAGCCGTCTCCATCCTCTAATGCGCCTAAATCGCCTGAAAATATTAAAAAGAAGGTTGCCATATATATTTAAAGTTATAAATAATTAATAAAGCGAGGGAATATATGTAACAGAAAATATGATATTGTCTGAGAAATTGTCATTAAGAATATATAAATTAAAAGATCTCAATCTCTTAAATGAATTTTTTTCATTTTAACTAAATACATAATTAAATAATTAAATAAATATAGCATTCAGACGAACCCATGCTGTTGTCATTGACTATACTTTGCTTCCTGCGTATATTTTGCTCTGTTTTGTCTTTCTTTGTAGGACCACCTACTATATCAAATCCAAGATTAATGATGGTATCACCGTTATTAGATTCCAAATCGGTCAATGAATCAGGCAATGATGTTTGCTGATATCTCGATTTAGATGGATCAATAGCTAAAACATAAAATTTAAAAATTTTAATTCACAAATTATATATTTATTAACAAAATTAATAATTTCATTAAAAAAATAATATTTTAATTAATTTTCGTAGTTACCATTCAAATATAATATTATAATGAACAAAATTTGTAATTTATTATTTAACAAAATATTTTATCTCATAATTAAATTAAAATCAAAAATAAAATATATGTACAATATATATATTCTCCCTAATAATACAATTATTTTATTATTACTCTAGTAATTTAATTATATTTATTTAAATTATAAGTTTCATTAAACTGTTATCACAATTATAAAGCAGTTTCACACGCCCTTTGGAATTAATTATGTAATTACCTGTACACTGTAGTTGGTACAAGCTTTTCTTTCTCTCCTGAGCATCCTTTGCCCTTTTGGTCAAAGGATAGTACATGTATTTGTGTATCGAATTAATGGTGTGAGTGCCGACGAGAGTATATCTGCCGAAACTCCGACAATCCACCGCTCTTATGGTCAGTGGCGGTCGATAAAGCTCTTGCTCGGGTAGCTCCAATTCCAGAAATTTAATTGGTGTGTTGAAATTTGGGTTCTTCTTCGCGTTTGCTATGACAGACGAGTAGAGAATGTGGCCGGCGCATTCGACGTCCACACGCGGTTTATCCACGGTCAACAGGTGAATTCTTTTCAAATCTCGTAAGCCCCAGAAAAGCACTTCGATTCTAAAACGATTGATTTATTATATTTATATAGTTGTGTAAAAACAATTTATTTTATAATTATTTTCTGCTCGATACTCGGAAAGAAATTAATCGTACGATAAAGTTGTTTGCTTTTTATAATTTATCTTAATCATTAATTTTTAAAACAATAACTGAAAAATATAAAAAAAACCATTGAATTAATAATATAAAAAATCAACGGTATTACCGATATTTCGCCAAAGTGGGCCGGATTCCTATGGGCACCGGAAGAATCGGGCCTTGATCCTGAGCGGAGCCCGGAGTTTGAGAACCGCAACTAGGATCTTTGGATCAGGCAGAGTAGGGAATCCGTAATCTTTGGTAGAGGGATATTCTAACAATTCGAAGACCGCTAAAAGCTCGCCAGCCCTTGAAGCACCTCTAGTAACGTCATACCATTCCAACGACGGCGGATATTGCGGAGGAGTGTAGGCTTCAGAAGCGAGCTTGACGTGAGGTCGGGCGATCGCTCGTCCGATATATTCTGATTTTCCCTGAAAATAAATTTTATAGGAATTCCGATGCATACGAGACAAAAGTGTCACCCATCAACTGTGAAAATACTAAGGAATTGTGTGTAGGAGTGAGGGAGCAATATATTCAGTTTAGTAGATTTCAAATGCTTGTACTAGGTATTCAGTATCGTGAGAAAATGCAGAAAGGTTAAATTCTGGATTTATAAAATACAGGGAATACATTTAGGGAAACTAGAGCTCATATAACGTTTATAATTTTATGTAAGCTGAATTAATTTCGACAAAAATATCAAAATTATCAAAGTGTTTGTGTTGTTTAATTTTATCAAAAAAATTAGAAAGAAATTTAATAATTAATAAATAATAAATAAAAAGTTATTTATTTCTTACTAATTAAATAATGATATATGGTGTGTTAATGAAGTAACTTATTTACTAAAATTTATATAATATATATATAAAATATGAAAATTTTCAACTTAAAAATTTTTAAAGAAATAAATATTTTTTAAGAATTTTAATCAAAACTTTTATATGTAATTTTTTGTCCGGTAATAACGCAGACTTTTCTTCCAAGATATTTCGTGTGCAAAAAAATATTGCAATACTGCCATTAATAAACAGAGAAGTGTATTTGTTCACAATGCATGAAACCATGTAAGGTAAAGCAAACCAAGTTTTGTGCAAAAGTTATTTGCGGTTGCGCGGTTGTGTGCGTTTGACTCTCTGTTAGCTACCGCAGCAGTTTCACAAGTTGGAAACTTGCAGTTTTCGAAATTCCATATTCGTAAACGTTAACGTAACAAGAATCTGCCATTTAATCTCTATGTCTTGACACATAAATAACGTGTGCCGTGCTAAGTTACGGTATTTCTGGTGCGAGTATAATGTGCCTCATGTTATCCGGCATCGTATAAATGTCATTATCTTGTATACAAACTGTTAAAGCAGAGCCCTCATGCAGTGTTATGTCCATAGCTATAATATGACTCTGTAAAAAGAACGATTACGAAATATCATAGAAGTGATATAGAAACGATAATTTTTTAATACTTTCTATAATAACGCGCGTTCCACCTAACATATAATTCCAATTATAATATCGAATCTGAATTTAATACAGAATTAAGTACAAATTTTCTCAACCTTCGATTTTTCATTTTTTTTTAATATTCTTGAGTAATTTTGAATTTTATGACACAAATTGCATAAAGTTGCAGCAACGTTTGAGAAATTCCGCGAAATATTTGCTACTTTGAATGCATTTAGATAGGTTTTCCACAAATTTTTATTTAAAAAATAATATAACGTAAAAGATAATATTTATAAAAAAAAGAGGAATACAAAAATATGTAATTCAACTGAAACATTGCAAACTTTTCGTACCACTTTATCCTGATCAAACAGCTCGACGACGATGGATGGCGGGTCCTTCTTGATCTCCTCGGCGGTGCCGTAGATCAAAATGTCATCAAATAACAGCAACTCGTCCCACGTCGGGCTGAGGGTCTCGTCGATCACCTGGGTGCTCTTGCAAAATTCACCGCAGATCACTCTTGCGAATGGGTCAGAGAGACCGGAAGCGTCGCTGCCGATCAGCGACCTTGCTTGGTACATGTGGGCTCTCAATTGAAATTTCTGGCAATTCAGAATTTATACGATTATGCATTTATTTTCGGAAAGTTTCACGAGCCGAAAAAAATACATACATGTTTCTGGATGTAGTGAAGCATAATTGGCGGCAAAGCTCGCGGCCTGTCCACGTTCTTCAGTTCGTGACCGAACTCGTATCCCTTCGGCAAACCCTGAATAAAATACTTTTTGTGCTTCAGTATCCCTAGCCACATGTAGATTTGCAGTTTCGTCTGTATCGCCCATCCTGAAGGTCCAAACCTCTTCTTGCCTGGAAGCTATATATGACTTCTATTCGACGCGAGAATAATATGAAATAATTTGAACAAACATTTGAAATTATTTATTAATGGATGTGACTCAATTTAGAATTTAATCTTTATAAATGCGTTCTTCTTTCACGCATTATAAATTTTCTTCGATAAAAAATAAAAAAGATGAATAATAAATTATATATATTATATTAATTATAATATAATATATTTTTTATACATATTTCTATGAAATTATATTTTGCAGAAGTTTCTTATAAATATAGATGAAAAAATTATTATAAGTTTATCATCAAATTTAACCAAATCAATTTCTCATATATTTAGTTAGAAAAAAGGTTGCATGTACTATGTCGACTTAGCATTATTTTGAGTGTACTTTCTTTACCTTGAGGAACATAGTCTGTACTTTCCCACAATGTCGACCGCATTCTTCGTCAACCACCGAGTAGATGAGTTCACGACACGATATCCTCTGGTATGCGACTCGTCTACCGGAGCTTATCACCCAGACGAAAACATCCGGCAAAGAATCTTGCGGCTGTAAAGAGAAAAATTTTCGCAATTTCATTTCGTGATGCATCAACGATTACGTTTAAATGACGACTACTGACATCCTCGACGAGGAATTTTAATTTCTGCAGATAGCTCTGAGCTGTCTTCAATCTCTCCTTGAAGCTACTTTTTGTCACGAGCGCCTTGAGGTTGCGCGACATGATCCCGATATTTTCTAGCTCCCGCTGGCACAATTTTGTTCGCTCTTTATCCAGTTTGTCTTCCGACGCCTGGACCGGTTACGCTAGACTTGCTAATACTGACATACCGGTTACAGTTGGCGCTCAGCTCTTCGAGGGTAGCCTTTAGAAGCTTCTCGCACGTTGAATCTTCCAATGCAACTGCACCTCTGACAATCCTTCCTCCTAAAAATACAAAGAAAAGCAGTTTTATGCTCTTTAGAGGATAAATCTGATCGAGGAAAATTTATTCCCTCCAAGTTATTTCAATAAAATAAAAATGTCATTGATATTTGTATATTTTTTTCCAAGATCAAGGCTTGTAATAAACTTACCAGCTTATCGATAATCTTGCCGATGATATTGCTGTTATACATTCTGCGTCTGTAATCCGGCCACGTGCTTCTCACGTGAAGACACGGCTTGTCATCCCAGTACGGTAGAAAATAATAAGTTTTATCGTGCGTCATCGGCTTACTAGCCGGCGTAGTACTTTGCCAGGATCCAGCGAGCACTTCCTGCAGATCGTCCTCATCCCCAGAAATGCAACTCCTCGAGCCTGTATTGTACATCTACGACAAGCGAAACAAATCTCATTATAGAAATGAAATTCATCTCCTTGGAATATTTTTTCCACTCTCATTTATTTCTTCTGTTAGAAAAATTTTCGAAGAAAGAATTTCTTGATAAGACATCTCTTCAACTAATTGTCCTTTCCGAGAATTAATTGCAAAAGAGTTTTTACCTTTAAACTTTCATTGTGACCGTCGAGAGCGTTGCCTGCATTTCCGATCGATATTTCGAAATACATTGGCTTGTCACTGACTTTCTTATCGATCATTGTCGCATCCATAATCGTAGAAAACAGGAAGAATTCCTCGTTTCTCGCGTAAGCGGACTCGTTGATCGGAACTGTTGGTTCCACCTCGACTTCTGACGGTGCCATTTCCACATTGTCGGTGATCTCAGTTCGTATCGCTATAATAGTCTAAACGCGAACAACAATCGAGAAACAGACAATAAAGCAAAGTTACAATTTCCTGTGAATTTCAATAATTTTTATATCTCTAATTCAAGTTTTGATTTAGTTCACTGCTTTATTGTTAATAGTTATAATATAATTCTGAAATGTTAATTCTAATATGAATTATTAATATAAATAATTAATATAATCAATATAATTATAATAATAATTGTATTTATAAAGTTTTTCAAGGATCTGTAATCTAAATAAAATTTAACGTATTAAGACGGGCAACACAAATGCGGATTTTGAATGTATCCTAACGTAAATAATTTGTTAGAATAAAATACGGTAATTCTTGGACACGCCAAATTTGAAAATGAAATAATCTCATATTTGAGATTTAATTTTCAATACCCTTTAACCCCCTACGGAAAATTAAATAAATGAACATTCATTATTTCTTTTCCGTATAATATTGAAATAAATCTAAAAATATGAGATTATTTCATATTTAAAAATCTTGGCCGAGTCCAAGTAAAAATTTGGTGCCTTGTGCACCGGTTATTTTAATTCTAACGAAAATTATTTAGTTTCGTTAGGATAACGCATTGTCATCGCGATGGCTTTGTGCCCGTCTATACGTTAAATAATTGTATTGTTTTTATATAATATGTATACAATATATATTGTGCAACTATTATATTAAATAGAACGATATTAAATAACGTTTGTTACCTTGCTCTATATGAAAATTCCTTCGCCTAAGCCGGTGTTAATGTCGAGTGCTCGTCTATGATGCTGTAATCCCTGATGCTGCCATAAAGATGAATAAATGCTGGACCAAAAGTCGGTAAAGAAACCCTTCTCGCCGTCGTTGCTGATCTGTTTCAAGTCGACGAAGTGTGTACCGATGACAGTGGCGTGTACTGGGTCGTTATCGCATAATTGTATCTTTATTCTTTGACAAAGAGGAGGGAACATCTCGGTGAAAACTATCTGTTCGTTCCATACCGGAGCATAGCTATTCCTTTTCACGCTTGTTTTCCCCTAAAGTATCATAAAGAAAAATACTGGATTGTCTCCACGTGCACTTTGTTTAATATTGCTATATTTTTCAAATGGCAAAATGTATTTTTGTTAATATATATTCATGCAGAAAAAATAAATAAGTATTAAAAGATGACAATAGGGATAGAGAAAAATATGATTTGATATTATTATGAAATATTTTTATATTTGTCTAAATTTGGATAAATTAATACAACCAGCAGTTTATTTTCAAGGTAAACACTTTTAATTAATATAATTAATATAATATAATTTAGTAGGTAAACATTTAAAATACTGAGAATAAATTATGAGAGTAGCAACTGCAAAAATAATTTGTTTTACCCCTGTCTGTGTACACTATACAATTTGATTTGTTATTTTTATCTCTATTTTTAAATGCAAACATTTTAATATATAATTTTTATTATTTTGAACTTTATATCATATATAAATAATGTTTTATTTGTATTATAAAATACAGAATAAATTTTATATTTTATAATATTTGTATGATTAAAAATATAGCAATATTATAATAAGTTTTTGAATGATTTTATATCAGTGAGAGATTAATTAAATTTGTTGTAAAGATACGTAGAGCTTACGCTAAGTCCAGCAAAAGACACTTGAACATATGGGTCCACCAGATCTTTTACTTCTCCGTGAAAGCTTTCTTCACGTTCGCCATGACATGATGCTGCTATTCATTTCGGTAAGCCATCGGCTCTGTAAACCTTCACTACAAATTTCGCACGTTGTCTTTCGATCGGCACACCGTCGGGCAATAAAGATTCCCTTCAATGTCGTCCTCATCTTTTTCGCTTTTCGGAGGTATTTTTACGGTATCTCCTTTGCCGATGACACTTATGTCGCATTTAAGGAAACTTTGGGACCACCGGTAATGTCATCTGGATCGGTGAGCAAGGCCATTTGTGATAGAACTGATGATCTAGGATATCAATTCACAGTATCGATATTGATCCATGACGATTTATTTAAAAAAAGAAAAATTTGCAATTAACTCGAGAAGTTCACCTAAAACAATATCTCATAAAAGCAATAATGCTTAATATTTCTTTACATTTCTCTTATAAAATAGAAAAATTGTTCGAAATATACATAATGTATATTATATATATATAAAACTATAATTAGAGAAAAATAGTTATATGAATAAGAATAAAAATATAGAACGTTTTGTACAATAATCATTACATTTTTATATTTTTAATCTTTTGAGCGAACTCCTCAGTTTTTAATTTATAGTTTAGTACACAGTTGAACAATACATAACAATAAAATACAGATAGATAGATAGAGAGAGAGAAAAGAATAGCTGAGAATTGAGAAGAGATTTGCAAAAGCAAACAGCTTTGTGTTTTCTATAGAGCATATAACAATCGAGAGAATTGTGAATTTTATTTTATTTGGTTATTTATATGTGAATTAA